TAATAATAATAATAATAATAATAATAATAATAATAATAATAATAATAATAATAATAATAATAATAGTAATAGTAATAATAGTAATAATAATAATAATACACTCTTAGGAATTACAAATTCATATATCATCATGTCCCATTATAACCAAATAAATTAAAAGATTCCAACGACGTTTTTCTGATGTTAGATCCTCCGCAAACTCTATTTTGGGTTCCAAAATGTCAAAATGGTAAAAAAATCGAGTTATTTATAAAAATATATCAGTATTGTATGTTAATTTTCTAATGAATTTTATTTATGGGACAAACTGTAGATAGAGAAAGTCTCAAACTATTTATAAAATGTTAGTTCATTACAGTTAAATGTTTCCTGTGAATATAAATCGCGATTTGTGCTTTCTATCTATAATTCAACTTCATTTACAAGTGACAGTAAAGAATAAGCTATAAAGAATATCAATCATCTTTATCACAGGCATGCTCAAATATTCGAATCAGTATTACCTAATTAAAGATGATTCATCCGTTTCATAACGGTTCACGAAGAAGACTTTGTTTCATTTATATAGGTAAATAATCGTTATAGCATCTTTAAAATAATAAAAAAAGAAATCTACTAGTTTACCATAATAATAAATTATGAATAGCATTAATGTACACATGTGCATGTGTACATTAATGTTATTGTAATTAAAATTTTATTATATGTTTAAAAAGATTTTAATTTCTATTATTATACAAACAATGTTCTTTTACAATAACAGAATCTTTTTTTTTTCGAGAACTTCATGATTCATATAGTACTCTGTTTCTTGAAAAATAGTTAAAATGTTTTAAATATCGACTTCTGTACTATCGGTAAAATGTTCATAAAAATGTATCATGAAAGTTCCGGATACATCAGATTTTGATTTAGTACATGTAGTATAGTTTCCGGTGAATTATATGTATATAAAAAAAGTTCTGCAAATTGATCAGTATAACTTAAATCAATATATGAAACTATAGAGTTTTCTTGAGGATTAATTGGCTTTATAGGTAGCTCTTGCAATAAATTTGCTGTATTAGGTTCTGATGTTTTGTCCAGGGATGGTTTTTTCTTTTTATTTATTTTTTGTTGCATATCGGAAGGCTTGATAATACGCCATTTCTTCTTCGAATCCTTATAAGAAGGCACAAAAGCATGCTTATCAGAAGTTTCGCGGAGTTCTTCAGCAATTCTTTTATATTCTTGCTTAACCGGATCAGCAAGGGTCTTCCAGTTTTTCGATGCCTGTCGAGATATTTCACTTGCGCTAAGACGAAATCCATGATATATTGAAATTACTTTAAATGCTTTTCGGTACAATATAAAACTATTTGGTGTCTTTTTTGAAGGCTTATTCAAATTGTTTTTTAACACGCTGACAAAATTTTCATCCAGTGGATATGGCACATCAATTTTATCAAGATCTATCGGATTGAAACTTTCATTTCGAATGTATAATGGCATGAAAGAGCTAAAATTTGTGTTTTGAACTTTAGGCATTTTATTTCTTAATGTTAATTTGACTTTGATATTTCTTTTTGAAAAGCTGGTTTGTTCTATGTAGCTATTTTATATGTTTTTAAGCTTAATAAATTTAGACCATACATGTATTTTTATTCGTCCTACTTTATTTCTATTAATTTTATTTCCTATTGAGTTTTTTATTCGAGAACAGATTGCATGATTTTCGGGGGGAATTTTTTAATCTAATATTAATTATAATAAACCTACATTGTAAATTTAAAATTTTCTAGAATCAGACAAAAGAAGCTCGAGATACATGTATCTGCTGTGTTTTAGTTCATTGACAAACGATTCTTTGTTTATCGTTTAAAGTATGCACTATTCATTCATGCATGTTATCTTCGGCGATATCAAATTTTATTATTGAGATGATGTTATTGTGGCTTGTGTAATACGCCACAACGATTTCAAATATCGAATTTTTGTTCATTTTAAATTTTATTGGATCGCTTTTCACGGACAATCTATCTCAGTAGAGAACGATAATTAAAAATTAAAAACAAGTGCGTATCATAGATAGTACCCGGATTCGAGTAGAGGTTATTCGAATATGCATGTATTTAACAGCACATGTACCTGTGGCTGTATTCACTAATTCCTGGTAAAATCAGCCAGTCAACTCATCGCATAATTATGCACACACATATTTTACGTTGTTGGTTTTCTTAATTTTATGACTTTCATATCGATCTAGTCTCTCTAAGCACACTAAAATGATTATATAATATACTACATAAATTATATAGATCTCAATAAAAATGATTTTTTTCAATTTGGATGTCTCAAAAAAGAATCCGGGCACTTTAAGACGATATTCTTGGCGTTCAGTGATTCCGATTCTCGCAAAATTCCCATAATTCGATTTGTTTCGACTAAATAAATTGAACGATGGGATTTTCGTAGGATCAGGTCACTTAGACATCGAGATATCATGCACTAAAGTGTTTTTAGGATGATCGAAATTCTCGATCAAAAATACTACCATTTGATTCCTTAGTCGAGACGAATCAAATGGTAGCATTTGTGTGTGGATCAGATTATTGAACATTGTCTTAAATTGGTCGATTTATTTCAATCATATATTCTAGCTTTTCACAAATTTTGTGTTTATAAAGAGGTTGATATTAGTATATATAAATTATCAAATCTAGCTCAAATACATATATAGAATCTTGTAATTGCCAAGTATCATTAGTCATGTTTGAGTGTGTTTTCAAATCCCACTTATTTAGAGAAGCTTTTATTTATTGCTAATAATGATAATGTACTAGATTTCTTTTTTGAACATCAAAAATTGATAAATTTAATTAAATAATGATATCTTATATTTTTATATAATATATCTCTATATATTCACATTTTCATATAATTATATGCTTATATAAAGGATTAATACGGTGCATCCAATCTATAGGCATCAAAAAAATAAGTAGTTTTTAAACATATGTCAAAGTCAGTTATATTGAATATGAGTACTATATGTATATAGTAATTAACTTTATTAATAATGGAATATAATGTTGAGAATGGTATTATTTAACAAAATTTATCGTTATTACTTTTCCTTTTAATCCATGTTTGATTTCTAATTAAACAATTTGATCGTACATAAACTTTTATGACATTCAAAAATATTAATAAATTGAGTTCCGGTGATTTTTATGTCTTTAGTCTGGATGACCTCATTTTAGTGTGTGGATATGAATATTACGGTAGTACAGATAGGACTGTTATTATCATTCGAAGATTTATTTATTCAAATAGATCCGAATGATCTTTATTCGAATCCAAACGTATTTTGTATTTAATTATCAATGTACATAAATATTATCCGTGAAAAGCGATCCAATAATTTAGGATTATAAAAAAATTTATCGTGTTCAAAAATTGGAATAAATCATTATTTTTAGATATTTTAGTGAAAAATTGCAGAATATAAACAAAGAGAGATTTATTTTCCTATTAGAACACCAATTAAAAAACGTTAGTTTATCCACATATGTCGATAATGATAACGATAATATGGCTATTGTGGAATGAATATCGTGGTAAACGACATGAACAGAGACAAATTTGTGACGTACATGTATTTCACAATGTGTGGCGTATTACACAATGTAGATGCACATGTATTCTTGATCTTGAATGTGGCACAATAACATCAACGCCGCCCGATGACAATATGTATGTATGCTGCATATTTTTAAACGATGGAACAAAAACATGGTAGGTTCCTTTTTTGTCTGATCTCTAATAAATTTTAAAACTTACATTGTAAGTTTATTATAATTTTAATATTAGATTAACTAAATTCGTGCGTTCCCTTCCCTTGCGAAAGTCATAAAATCTGTTTCGAATACCCAATAGGAAAATAAAAATCAATAGAAACTAAAGTAATAAAACATATGTATAATCATAAGTTTAAACATATCTACATATAAATAAAATTTCCTATAAAATAGCTACTTGAAACAATCCAACTTTTCAAAAAAAAGATATCATAAGCTAAATTAACATTTAGAAATAAAATGCCTAAAGATTTTCAAAACAAAAATTTTAGCTCTTTCATGCCATATTTCATTCGAAACGAAGGCTTCAATTTGATGGATCTTGATAAAATTCGAAACGAAAGTTTCAATTTGATAGATCTTGATAAAATTGACGTGCCATATCCACTGAATGGCAATCTTGTCAGCGTATTAAAAAACAATTTGAATGAACCTTCAAAGAATGCGCCAAATTGTTTTATATTATACCGAAAAGCATTTAAGGAGATTTTAATACATCATGGATTTCGTCTTAATGCAAGCAAAATATCTCGACTGGCATCAAAAAACTGGAAGGCCCTTGCCGATCCGGTTAAGCAAGAATATAAAAAAATTGCTAAAGAGCTCCTCGAAAACACCGAAAAACATGCTTCCGCTCCTTCTTTTAAGAATAAATGGCGTATTGTCAATTCTTCTGATATAAAACGAAAACTAAATAAAAAGAAAAAGCCATCCCTGGACAAAACATCAGAACCTAATGTAGCAAACTTGAAAAAGCCACCTATGACGACAATTAATGCTCAAGAAAATCCTATATTTCCCTATGCAAATTTAAATCATATCGATCCAATTGGAGAACTTTTTACATATGCATATGATTTGCCGGAGACTATGCTACATGTACTAAATCAAAATCCGATATATTCTGAACTACCTCTGACGACAATTAATGCTCAAGAAAATTCTATATTCCCATATGCACATTTAAGTCATATCGATTCGTTTGAAGAACTTTTTACATATACATATGATTTGCCGAAAACCATGCTATTAAATCAAAATCTAATATCTCCGGAACTTTCTATGATGCATTTTTATGAACATTTTACTGATTTTCAAAGTATTTCAACTACTTTTCAAGAAACAGAATCGGAATACTTTATGAATCACGTGTAACTTTGTATTATATCAGTTCTCTAAAAAATTTTATTATTATTGCAAAAAACGATTTTTGTTTAGAAACAAAAAGCTCATTGATCATATTAAATATAGATTGCTATTAATTATACATGTCATAAGATTTTAATTACAACATATTAGATACATTATATACGCATATCCATGTCACGCGCATAGGTTGATACATGTACATGCATAACTGTATTATTGGAAAACAACAATATAAATCGTAAATTTCTTTTTTTATTATTCTAAAGATGTTATTTCTATATATCGATTAATTTATCTGCAACAATGAAACAAATTCTTATTGTGAACCGTTATGAACGGACGAACCATGTCAAAGACTAGTAGAATTGGTTTACAACTTTTTATCCGATATCTTATTGGTTTTGATTTGACAAATATTTTGCATTTTTAATTTAGTTAATACAGATTCGGATTAGCATGTCCGTAATAAAGATGAGTAATATACATGTACCCCATAGAATTTTTCTATGCTTATAAATGAAGTTGAGTTATAAGTAGATCACAAATCATAATTTTATGATATTTACAGTATTTTGGAATCAATTTAGCTGCAGCTAAAGAATATTTTATGCCTGTTTGCACTAAAAAATTACTTAGGTGGGTATAGCAGGCTTACTGCTAGTTATATTCGCTACATTAAGTCAAAAATGAATTATTTTTGGAGACTACGGCTTTCTCCCAGCAGTTTCTCAAAAAGAATACTTAGAAAAAAAATTAGACATTGTATATACGCATATGTGTTAATAGCTAGAAGTTAGAGACTTCTCTCTATGAGTAACATTCACGGTTTATCCTATAATAAATTCATAGAAAAATAGAAAAATTTACATACGATAATGATCTATTTTTAGTTGGTATTTGTGGTAATCAAAACTTGAGTTTGCGGCGGATGAGTCACTGTGGTCTTTTAATTTAGTAAGATTATAATGATTATAATGTGGTTGCTTTTGAATTTTATTTAATAAATTCAAATCAAATAACTACATTAATTAATAAATTAATTAAATCTTATTATAAATATTACT